GAGGTTAAACCTCATAAGAAGTTATGGTCGTGTGCAGCGAAGACTTCAGAAGCTTGTAGAAATCTAATGATACAAAACGACACTTACACGTAACGTGTCAAACCGAGCTGTGCTTTCATTTAATTTTATTTCCTGGGATAACAGGTTGTTTAAGTATCCTTAATCTGACTCTTTTCAATTATATACCTGACTTCCAATGTACTTTCTTATTGCGGTTTGTTATAGTTGTACGTTTAAAATGAATGACGCATCTGGTGTGTCTTATATTATCTGTTCAAAGAGACTAATATATGATGAGTATTAAGAAGTTTGCATTAACTTCAAAAATTTCTTAGCTTCCATAATCCTTAATCAGACTTTTCGATTATATACCTGCCTTTCGACATACTTTCTTATTGTTGTTTGCTAAATTTGTGTGTTCAAAATGAATGATGCACCTGATGTGTCTTATACTATCTGTTCATCGAGACTAATGTATGATGAGTGTTAAGAAGTTTATATAAACTTCAAAAGCTTCCGAGCTTCTATAATCCTTAACCAGACTTTTCGATTAAATACCTGCCTTTCGATATACTTTCTTATTGTTGTTTGCTAAATTTGTATGTTCAAAATGAATGACGCACATGGTGCGTCTTATATTATCTGTTCAAAGAGACTAATGTATGATGAGCATTAGGAATCTTACATTGTGATTTCAGAAGCATATGGACTAGTGTGAAATATTTCTTGGTAACCAGCAATTTCAAAAATATTATATTTCTACGTAAATTCGTGTATGATCCTGTTCTTATTAATCTGCGTACATGCATATTTCTTTTTCCTCATATATTGCGTTATATTTAAGTATAATGTTCACAACAGCAAGTATGAATATTTACAATTTTGTACAAAATATATACTCTCAATCCCCATATTAAAATTTCAGTTATTTCTCAAAGTGAATCTATTGCTATTCGTGTCAGTCTCAAAGCAACCATCTCCATCGAAATTTAATTATAATTAAAAATACTATCGCAGTAATAAATATAAATACTAACAATAAAAACAATACGTCAAATTTGAAGTATAATATATATCTAGTTTAATTGAAAGAAGCAAAATATATCAAGACTGAACTTCCTGAAAACAAGACACCTACCTAAAGTGGGTAAACAGATTAAAAGACAATGGATTTATTAGAGACTGCGCTTACCAGGAAGCAAGAAAGTAAAGTTTGTGATATAATATGATTGAAAATGGCAGATATTAGGATATTTGATGGTAGTTCTATCACGTTCGTGATTATCACCGTCATTCGAGCTGACAATTACACGAATGTAACCGTAAGTCGTGGAACCCAGCGACATCCAAAGATTTCAGTTAACTTCTTGTCTCCTGACAACATTATTACGTTCTACCGGCTCATGAAATCCGTTCCCAGAAGTTCTATTTCCAGAAGGGAACCAGTGCTGGGTGGAAAGATTATCATTATCCATTTTAAACAATCAGATTGCAGATTTTATGTAGTATTAATATCGCTGTCGTGTATAGTAAAAGAAATTGAATTGTTAGAATAAAAATAGAACTATTAAATAATTTGTCGAAAATTAGGATACACTAAGTCGATTTCTGTAAGTCTTCAAGTTTCACATTCAGAAAATTTCTATATATTCTAAATTCCTATTTTTTTTTCAAGATTTCGAGGTTCTGTAAGTCTAAATATTATATAAAGATTTCATGCTTAAAATTTCTATATCTTTCAAAGTTATAATTTCTAAAATGTGGAACACTTCTATATTTTTATATATAAAAATTTGTAAATATTTGTATTTTCAAATTCTTAAAATTCCCAAACTCACAAATTTTGAAAGGTGAGCTTCCTATATTTTCAGATGTCTAAATCCTTAGATTCTCAAATCTCTGTATTCCAAAATTTTCAAAATTTTCTATTCATAAATTTCCACATCTCGAATTTCTGAATTACCAAAACATTAGATATTTAAATTTGTTAATTCTGAATTTTATTAATTTTTAAATCGTCAAATTTTCAAATTAGTTAATTCGTAAATTTTTTAATCTTAAGAAATTTAAATTTGCGAATTCCTAAATTTATTACTCCCCAAATCTTCTCAAATTCTTAAATCCATAAGTATTCTAATTTGTAAATCTCAAAACTTGCAAATTTCCAAATTTTCAAATCTCCAAAGTTCCTAAATTTTTAAATTTCAAAAAACATTTTTTTAATTAAATGTAACACAATATTCACGTCAGGTGTCGATAAAATTTAATCCGTAAGACGAACATAAGATAAGTCCACATTACGTCAGCAATTTTTAAGTCACATATGTTTAAAATTGCCAACATCTGTATCTATATCCAATACCTAACACCATCATTCTCATTTTAGTGCGCGATATCAGCATTCAAGAAGTATATTTCCTGTTTCGATACACTTTATATATATTTTTAAATTACATGTATGTATTCAACATACATATGTGTTTTAAAATTTATATACATCTGCAGAACATATTTTAAAATTTATGTAATTTGAAGTACGTATTTTAAACTTTATATACATTTAGAGTACATATTTGTAAATTTAATATATCTTTAAAAAATTAATGTATATGTCGCAAAGAGATGACAAAAATAGGGATTTGATCCAATACCTGAGATATGTGATCAATTCATGGAAGATGTTAAAATAAGAACTCTGTGGAGTAATTTCCCTGAAGAAAGTAGGTGATTTGATTAAATCCCTTAACTGTATAGTGAAAAGATGAAATAAACAAGTCAAGGCTCGCACAGTTCTATGTTTTGGTTGTTATCACTCCGTTTACCTCATCGCTTTCCTCTGGCCGCGGTGCTAGCCAGCGCCCAAACATTGCGTGAGGAAGGTGGAACATTATTATTGTCTTCTACATTTCAAGTTTTATCAAATACCTTCCGTAGAAAAATGAATTCAAATATAGAAAAAGATCAAACTTTGACTGAAATTATATCTGAAGAACAGTTTAATGAAACTATCATACGTTTTTAGTTATTTTAACATCTTCCGTGAATTGATCATATACCTTAAAGATTTGATTAAAACTCTATTTTCATTTCCCTACGACATATTAAAATTACCATAACTTGTATCCACACCCTGTACCATCATTTTCATGTTCGATATGAACATTCAAGAAACATTACACGCTATTTAATTTCTATGTCTGATCACTATGTAATTTTTAATCTCCAGACAATAATCATAGCGTAAGTCTCATTCTTCAAACGTGACGTGTGTTGCTAATTTCGACAGGAAAATCGAAGATCTTTTACGACACACCGTGTAAACACTATTGTTTCCACAACCGTTTCTATTCTTGAAACAAATGGTTTCTGCTTCCGAATGGTGTTAAAGGGTATATTTTTCAAGCGTAGAATTATAGATCGTTTCGTACCAAAAGTTGAATATACGAAGTAAATTGTTTCTCCCTGTTTACGATATTGGATCTCATAACTCATGTTCGGAAATTTGTTGCAAGAAATAACGTCCGTTGAAGACTGTATTATGTAAATCATGATTCCTGAGTGACAGATGGTGCACCAGCGTCATACATCACGATATATCTAACAATTTATGCCATCATCTATCTCCTTATAAGATTATGAAACTTTACTAGGTCACGAAGGTAACGCTAACAAGTTACATTTATGTATTAGAAGAATTTTTAAGTGAACAGATGTGATCGCACCATTTGTGTATTTCCTATAAATGGAATGGTGAACACAATTTTTCTGGTACCTTAAAATTTGGTTTACACATTACACGTTTGTAGTTGTTTCTAAACTGTTATTTAGAAACATTACGCAATTTTCTAAATTCTACATGTCAGTCCGGCGAAATTAGGTGTGCTTTTGGATATACTATCGATCTTTCCTAATATATCACATAAACCGCGTATTACAGGAGGTATTGCTGTTTGCAGGAAACGCTGTTTGCAATTGTATAAATACATGTGCTTAATACTGCAAGCACGCTATTGATTATTAACCCTTTAACCAATTACGGGTTCTCGTAAATATTTAATCTAAGCATGCGTCTGTGCAGACTGATCTAATTATTTACTGGTTTGTATAATTCTCTTATTCCATAAAATTTTTAGACGTTGTGTGAATTCGTTTACGCCTATCAATTCAGTGCAATTTTATTTCATCAAAAAATCATTAAAAATATAGATTGATATTTACAAGCATTAAAAAGTAATATATTATGGTATTTTACATTCAATTATATTCTATTTCTTCATTTTTGAGGACTCAGAAAATTGACAGATTTTTAGATTTGTTGAATGTAGGGATTTTGTGAAATATAGGAAATTGGGAATTCGAAAACTAGGAATTCTAAAAATTTGAATTTTGACAATGCGAGTATTGAGTAATTTATAGACTTAGGAGTTAACAAATTTTTAAAAATTTCCCGATTTAAAAAGCTTGAAACGGAAATACAAAAACGTGCAAGTATAGAAGTCTATAAATAAATAAAGTCACTGAAGGAGTTAATAAGCGTAGTGCATTCGATAAGACATGAATCATAAAACGTGGTCAAGTAGTCTCTTTATTGTTACATATGCAGGATGACAATTATACTATGATAATAATTACAAAAGACTCGACGCATGAGTTCAAAGTACTAATGCAGACCATGATATGTATACTCGATTTCCTTCCGTCGCAAACAAATCTTCGGCACAGCGATTGAACCTAATCCGCCTTTAACATACGATACAGCGAAAGGGTTAAATGTTAATCTAAGAGCATTAATTCTTCTCAATCGTGTGGTCTTCGATCAGTCGAGATTTACGAGGGTCATGATCAGCGTCGTCAAATTCCGCGGCTTCGAAGACAAACGAAGCCGTCGAAACGGTAGCACGCCTCTGATTGGTCGAAGGGTTGCGCGCGGGTGTGTACGCGTCTGACGTCACGTCTCGACCGCTTTGAAATCGTCCTGGCCGTCAGTCGCGCGCCGAACCTCGAACCGAACGCATGTGGTGTCGATCGTCTCCCCATTTCGTTGCTCACCGAATAATCAACGCAATTACGATGTAAACAGTGTAATTTTTACAATCGCGCGAAAACGTACAAGAAAAGTGACGTTCGTGAACTGGTTCAGTGCAGTGTCAGATCTCCGTTTCGACCGGGAATATTGGCATCGGACGAGCTGTCTCGTCTCGATCGTCGATGGTCGTGTTCCACGAAAGGGAGCACGTTACTGAAACCGGCAAGTTTACTCGATTTATTCGCGCGATCGACAGAATGCATTCGAGTGACGATGGATAGCATTTCTTCGAGCGTAGCGTGTTAGTGAAGCGACAGTCCACGTGACCGGTGTTTGCAGTTTATGTGAAACGCGCATCAGATCGTGACGTATCATATCGTTCGTGCGTTATACGATTATCGATGCGCGATATCTGTCGTTTGCTGGAATCGTGTGTAAATCTACGCGTGAACGACAATCGATACGTCATCGTGATTGTCCGATCGATTCGCGCGTGTCAACGGTCGATCGATACGCGAGAAACGATTCGATTTTAATTAATATGCGTATCACGGGAAAACGGACCGGCTCGATGCTCGACGCCGTCGATCTGACTTTGAAGAATTCGCGAATACCGCTTGAGGCGTGAATACCTACACGGTGTATTTAACCCTGCCGCTCTGAAGTGTCCCTCGAAAGTGTTTTACGTCGGTGACAACTACGCGGGTGATGTGTTGGTGTCTGTGTCGCGTCAACTGAGAGCTGTGCACAGTGTGTGCCGGATGTCAGGACCATAATCGTTGATGTCTTCAGGCCTAGTGACTCGTGTCATCATGCTGACGATCGTTTTGCTGTTCCTCCTGGGCCAACCGGCTGCACGGGCTGATTATCTGAGTGAGTACCTGTTTGTTAACGCGGATTTTAATGTGTTCGTGATACGCTAAACGTATTTTCATGTTTACGTGTATGCTATATTAACAAATGTATGTGACCGAATGACAACGTGTTTAAGGGTTCTGCTTTACTATTCGGGGGTTAATAGTGATGAAATTGTTTTCAATATTTGCTTGTGTATTAAAATTTACACATGTCTATGTTGAAGGACGAGATAGTGCAGCTCGATATGCTTAAAGGTTTTTCTTTGACAGTTAGGAGTTAATGTGATGGAATTTTTATCTTGTATGTTTAAATTCATATTTATACTAAAAGACAAGATAGTGCAAGCTGTTGAACTTGTAGTGAATATGAGAAGTGTAGAAGAATAGTGGTGTAAGTCAAATTTAGTGACGTGTGTGTCAATTTATACTAATTTATTAAAGGAAAAATTGGATGTCAAAGATACTTCGAGATGTAGAACTACATATGAACGAAACGAGTGTTCTATTAATTATAGTAAGTTTTTCTAAAGGGGAAATTAGGTGACACACTACGATAGTTTTAACCCTTGGGTGCAACTTACAGTCATTTGCCATATTTACAATTTTTAATACAGTGTTCACGTAAACAGGAAAATATATTCAGCACACGAAATGTGTCTATGCACACACTATCAAGTGGTATGATGCCCCTGAAAGGCAAATACATGGTATTTCCATTCGCAAATAAACGTTAATTCGTGAATGTGTGTTATGAACAATTGAAATTCGTTTACGAATGGGGTATAAATTCTGTGAGCGTAAAGTGGTTTTTACATAAAATGTGAAAATATGGAGCTACTTGAGGCTTCAAGAAATAAAACAATTTTCACAGCATTTAATAGATGTATAATGTATTACACACGTTTTATAGGTATTTCGCAAATATTTTTCAAATAGCATGAACACGCAATATTCTTCTATAACGTTTTTAATGGTTTTTAAATCATAATTTAACATGTTTTATATGTTTCGTAAGTTCTGAAAAATCAAGCATTTAGGGATTAATTTTTTAATGAGGGTCTTAGAATTTTATTTTAGAATCACATGAATCGGAGTTGGTTGATCATTGCAATATCAGAACAAATAAAGCTGCAATGGTATTTCATTAGGTTAGATTAAACGTTAGGTCCAATGAGGTTTTCTTTGTGCAGTTATTAACAGGCTTTCTCCTTTGTGCATTAACTGGAAAATTATGATTAAAATTAAAATTAAGTAGTGTTTCTTAGGTCCTGCTGTGTATCTGCTTTTACTGTAGCTATTTACGAAATAAAGTACGTGTTCTTTAGTATTTTAAATCAATATAAAAAAATATCACATCTGTCTATTGTTTAGTACTGCTTAGTATTGTTTAGTATTTCATTTCATTGCGAAGTGCAAATGAACTACGTGACTATAAATCTTGATCGAGCATGGATTTTACAATCATCTTAAAATTCCATCATAAAAAAGTGTCCGAGTTGAAAGTTCCAATGCCAATATTATGAAATCGTGCTTCAATATTCCGAACTCCGTTCTTGGTCCGAAAATCTGGGCCTCGTATCGAATCCTACGCAAATCTTTCATTTTTGTACCTTCAGGTACCATGAATGACATCATGGACGTACCATTTCTCGTTCGTGATATTCTGAAAACACACGGAAAGTAGGCAGCTCATTAGAGTGGAAAATGGTGGAAATGAAAAACGATCGATCTGAATAGGCACCCTGTTTCGAAGGGAAACATTTGTAAAGTTTACAGACGTCACGCTTATTTTCAAACCGTGGATGCAGAAAATTATCCATACTTTAGGTGTGTCTTTTGTTGTGTTATTAATAGGAAACCGCTCGTTTCACGCGGTGATATAAGCGTTGTAATCATGCATTTTTCTTTACTTTGTTCAGACATAATCTTGCACAAATTAATTCCGGCTTCGTAACATCTGTGATACAATCGATAAATTAAACGATTACTCTCTTACATCACTAGGATAACAATTTACTGAATTCGACTGAAAAGCAAAAATACATTCAAAGTTTTAGCAAGAGTATATTTTTTAAATATTTTGTTGAATGTTCTGTTTAACGCAATTTTTAATTCTTCTCACAGAATGAACTATGTCTATGAAAGATGGAACTTTCCTTAATTATTTCTGAAATTTTAGTATGAGTTAAATACTCTTGCAAATTAATAAATTCTCTTCAAAATGATCAGAAACTTGTTTCATAAAATTTAAATGCAGATTATTTATAAAGTTATACGAGTATGTTATAACCTATCATGTATAGATCAGATTTTTAATATTGAAATTATTATAGGTTGGCATGTTTGTTCAATTGTAGTTTATGCAGCTAAGGTAAATGACTGCATGTCTTCCCAAAATTCAAACGCGATTATCCACAGTGCTTAGTGTAATCACTTAATGAAGGTAAAGTTTCAAGATCGGGCACGTCTGCGATAACACTGCATCCATTAGAGTTGCTCTAATGTGTCCTGCTCCTACATGATACGTTGTACATTCGTGATTAGTATTCCAATGTGAATTATATCTACTGTGAAACTAGTGTAATATTTATTTATCTATGAAACTAATGTAGTATTTGCCTGTGAAGCTAGTCTGGTATTTATCTGTCCATAAATACTATTGTAGTATTTATGTACCAATGAAGTTAGTGTAGTATTTATTTATGAAGTTATTCTGGCATGTATCTATCTATAAATACTATTATAGTATTTATGTATCCATGAAGTTAGTGTAGTATTTACTTGTTTATAAAGCTAGTCTGATATGTATCTGTCTATAAATACTGTTACAGTATTTATCTACCTAGGAAGCTAGTGTAGTATTTATGTATCTATAAAGGTAGTCTGATTTTTACTTGTCTATAAATACTGTTATAGTATTTATGTACCAATGAAGATACTGTAGTATTTATCTACCTAGGAAGCTAGTATTTATCTGTCTATAAAGGTAGTCTGGTATTTATCTACCTATAAATACTATTGCAGTATTTATGTACCAATGAAGCTAGTGCAGTATTTATCTACGTAGGAAGTTAGTGTGGTATTTATCTGTGTATGAAGCTACTCTGGCATGTATCTATCCATAAATACTATTATAGTATTTATCTACCAACGAAGCTAGTGTAGTATTTATCTATTCTATGAAACCAGAATAGTATTCATCCATCTATAAAGCTAATATAGTATCCATCTACCTATGAAGCTAGCACAGTAAATTGTTAAAAATTATTATTCTCGATAGGATCTACCTAGGAAACTAGTGTAGTATTTATCTGTCTATAAAACTAGTCTGGTATTTCTCTATCTATAAATACTATTATAGTATTTATCTATCACTGAAGCTAGTGTAGTATTTATCTATTTTATGAAAATAGAGTAGTATTAATTTATCTATAAAGCTAATGTAGTATTCATCTACCTATGAAGCTAGCACAGTAAATTGTTAAAAATTATTGTTCTCGATAAAATGAAAAACGTTGGAAAATTGAAGGATGCTTGTTAGGATTTCTCGAGGAAATATGAATTTACTTTGCATCGAACTTCATTGTATTCCTGTGCGCAGAAACGACTACGTGTTTTCTCATAATTCTGCTAATAAAGAATGATTGGATCCTCGAATTGCGTAGTATATATCTTATACAATCGTTTGTAGCCATTTTTATTCAAGTGTGACACAATTGGAGTCGTTTATATATAAATGCTAAAGATGCTGGATATTCGATTTAAAAATTTGAAACTTTGACATTTTTACGTTCTTGTATTTTCACATTTTTTAATTACTAAATTTATACATTTTGGAGTTCCAATATTTTCCAGTTCTAGAGTTTGGGATTTTAGTAGTTTTTCTAGTTTTTCAGATTTCTGTTTTTTTAGGGGGGGATTTTTAGTTTTTCAGATTTCTGAAATTGATACTCCTATATTTTTATACTTTCAAATTTCTAAATTTAAAAATTTAAAAATTTCTGAATTTAAAAATGAAAAAATTGAAGAATTTTTGAGATTCTAAATTTCTACACTTCTAAATTTATAGGTTCATTAAGATTCTGGGTTCTAAATTTATTTGTAAATTTATAAATTTGAGATCTTCAAGAATCCATGAATATATTTTGTGATACATTATCTACATATATTATAAAACATCTACATATATAATATATCTACATATATTATAAAACACCTAATGCAACAAATATGTCTTGATCGGATAATCTTATATCCCCTTATAATCTCTTAGATAATCTTATAATCTCAGGCTTATAATAATCTAGTTAAATCGAAATTCAAAATTCAATTTATCTCATTATCAATTAGAGCCCTATTATTGATATTTTCATTATGTCTATCGCAACATTTTGTCTTGCAAACACACAAAAAATGATTAATATTAACTACACTTTAACAGTCACCCATTTGTTACTTCTTTATATTAACCTCCTATTTTCAGACTCCAGTTCCGCGGAATATGTTATATAACTTTTCTTTGTACTTCTTCAAAACAGTATTCTGTTTCAATTTGGTATTCAAATGACCACGATAATCTCAACGCTGTGCTTCCATATTTAGATTTACATAGTTGTATATACACTGTTTCTTGACGTGTTTGCTTATTACGATACTGACGTGTAGCAGTCACGTAAACATAGCCTACTCGTTGAGGTAAAATTCATGATCAAATCACGTTGAAGTAATGTAAAATGAAAGGTAAAGAGTTCTCACGTTGAGAGATACCTAAGAAATTAGCGTGCTCCGGCTAACGTCCGTTTACTTTCATTTTCATCATTGTGGAAAAAAGTGTTAAACTGTATTATAGTCTCTGGCCATAGAATTAGGTCCACTATAAATTTTCAACATTTTTCACGTTTTCTGTAAAATTAAAAGACCTATTCAAATTGTTATGATATAATTTATTGGCTACACATGATACACTAGTACTGTACATAACATTATTAGCACATGTTAATATCTTGTGTTTCCACC